ATGCTAACCTGGCTAACTATGAACACAGGTGAAATCACCAATAAGCATATTCACTTCACATGTTGACTGGTGACCAGTAGCTTCCACTCATCGTTAGCACCATTACTATGTACGCTAACAATGCATGGAAGCTAACAGTCGAAAGTTAACATGATAAACATTTGAATAATGTTTATCAAGTTAACTATGAAAGTGAATAGTCACCAATCAGCATCACTCCAATGGCTAACTGGCGACTACTGGCTTCCATTCATCCTCAGGAACGCTAGCATGGAAGCTAACAATGCATGGAAGCTGGCATTGTCATGCCAATCATGCTAACATGGCTAACAATAAAAAAAATGAAGTCAGTGACAAAGTTTATTCCAGTGGCATCATGGGAACTGGTGACTCCTGGCTTCTATTCAGTATTAGCGACATTACCATACAGGCTAACAATGAAGGGCAAGTAAATAGCAGGGTGTCATTTGAATCATGCTAACTGCACCAACTATGAATGAAAGCGAATAGTCGCTAATTCACCATGCTGAGTGCTGACGACTAGCTTCCACTCATCGTTAGGGTCATTAGAATGCAGGCTAACCATGACTGGAAGCTCGTAGTCACAAATGAGCCTGGTCATTTCAATCATACCAAGATGGCAACAATTAGCGAAAGTGAAAAGTCACATTAACGTTACTCAAATTATTCAAATTACAAGTCGTGCAAAGCTTTCATTGACAGCATTAGCATGTAGGGTCGAACGATCCCTGCAATCTGTCCATTTTGAGACGTTCGACACACATGGGCTCTGAATTAGGTGGCAAGGGTTTGGCCAAATGAGAAAAAAATACTAAACTAGGCATTAAAAAACATGATTTTTTTTTTGCAACTATTCCCTCTTTTTCAACAGACAGACAATAACAGTTCATTGATACACTCCTTTTTTGCTTCTTAAAGCAGGTAAAGTGGCACAGATGAAAAGGCAACTAGCTTGTTTTAAGAGAACAGAAGCGACGAGTTATTAGCACAGTTAAGGCCTTTGACATCAGACTCGAACGAAGGCCTCTGTAGAATTCTCCGGAAGACAGCTGGAGGAAAATAACACTGAAAACGTCCTTGAAAAGGTCCTGACCTTCAAACGTTGACCTCTAAGTTTGACACAGCAGTGGAGTCGTTGTGGTTTGATATTATTCGTGGTTCGGTTTCCTTATAGGCACAAAGGGTTCGCTTCGCTTCCGCTGGCACAACCTGTTCTTCAGTGACTGAGGGGAGATTAGAACAGATGAACTTAGAGCGACAGCTTTACGAAGAAAAATCAAACTGACGTTTCCCACCACAATCCCAAGTGTGGTCGATCAGTCGAGACGCGTTTGGAGTCTGAAGTCTGCTTCCTTAGTTTTAGGCTGGAGCTACGAGGCAAACGTTTAGCACTGCCTAATCCTGCATTCGACAAACTCAATTTCCCAGTCGAAGGTGGGAAAAATCCAAAAACAACACTCCCTCAGCTGGGAATTCATATTCGGAAACTCAGGGACAGTCAAATTAAATCGAATTAAGTTCAGAACCATTAGTCAACTGTGTTTTGCACACAGGAATTAGACCTCTGCATTTAACCCACCCACAAACATGCACACTAGTGAACACACACACTAGGGGGCAGTGAGCACGCTTGCTCGGAGCGGTGGGCAGCCCTATCCACAGCGCCCGGGGAGCAGTTGGGGGTTAGGTGCCTTGCTCAAGGGCACTTTAGTCACGTACTGTCGGCCAAGGGGATCGAACCGGCGACCTTTCCGGTCACAAGGCTGGTTCCCAGCCCACGACTGCCCCCCCTTAAGAAACTCTTTTCAACGAAGGTGGGATTGACATGGCTGCTAACACCATCAACCGTAATAAAGAACCAGTTCACTACAGATAAAGTAGTGCCAAGTTCATAAAGCTTTGAGAAGGTAAATACATCATGATTGTTAAAAATCACTAACATCATTTGTCGCTTGTTGCTAACAGTACTGCCTTTTAAGGAACTGTCCATGTTTTTCCCCCTATTTAGTAGCTCAAAGTGTTTGGAGTTTGTTGAGGAATCTCTAAGAGACTTCACTATGCGGTTTCTGACACCTTATGACGCAGTGATATCAATAAAAATAACAACCAAGCTAATAATAACCAATATCATGAATGAATTGTCTGCACTTTAGTTCATGTTTATAGACAACAGGTGTCAGAAACCACAATCAGGTCCATTAGAGATTCCCGAACAATGCTTTGAGGCAATTTACACATGCATTGGGTGGGATGTAAGCCTCCATTCCATTCTTAGCTTCGTAGCTCCAGCGCAAAACAAAAGAAGCAAACATGTCTTGCATTTAGGCTAAGAAAGGAAAAACTGGGAATATGATTAAATCAGAGAACTGCTCTTAGGTGAGCCCAGGCAAATACATAAACCATGTGAGCTGACCAGTGCGTTGGCTGGACACACGATTCAGATTCTTCAGTGAGGAAGATGAAGAAGAAACACATAAGAACCCCTCAACCACTTGAGAAGAACTTGTGTCCAAGCTGGAGGTGCTGGAAGGCATATGTGACTCGCGTCTTAGTGGAAGCATCTAGCACATAATTCATACAGATAAAGCATAATTACAGATATCAAACCAAACCAGCCTACAATTTCACAAACACCAAAAAACAAAACAGGACAATGCATATGTAGTTGGGTCAAAACCATACAAACAAAAACAGTTTAAAAAAAAACAAAAAAAAAAAAAAAAAAAGGACACAACTGTTGAACGAAAGACCAAGCAGAAGACGTCAAACACTGGTTTCAACACAACTCCTGTCGTCTACATCTCAAGAGCATTTATAGGCAATAAAAAAAGTCAAATCTGTTAACCGTGTTTGCAACATCTCCTGTTTATCAGGGTGGGAATCGCTAAAGGCCCCGATATTATCACGATACTTGAGGCATTAAAAGATTCAGTCGAGACAGTTAAACTTAAAGTGCATATACTTTAAGTTCTCCTGTGTGCAGGGTGTTATACGCTACACCATCTAACTACTCATAACTGACCGAATCGCCACAGAAAGAAACAGCGGCACCGTGTGGATGAAGACAGAACTGCATTTTGGCAACCTATTATTCTAACCATGGGCGCAACACATACTTACAAAAAGTAATATATATCGATACTTGGGCGTCTGTGTAGCGATACTATTTTTACATCCAAAATATCATGATGTAGCAATATTTTTCCACCCCTACTATCCACAGTGATGGTCACAGAAGCCCCAATATACAAGCCTTGCACTAATTTATATTCTTGTCGGCAATTTTCTGCTTTTCTACGTTAAGTCCAAGGATAGATTTTGTTTTCCCCTCTGGGAAAAACATAGAACTGTAGTGTTTACATCTAACATTCACCACTTTTCCATTGCAGTGGTTTACAGCTGCTGTTTTCAGTTCTTTAGGTCACTGTTTTAGACACAGGTGGACGGGCAGAGGGGTATCGATGACCTTCGGCGTAGAGCAGCTCTAAGCCTCCAGAACATCTTCAAATTAAGACGTTAATTTGGTGTCTGAACTTTGCTTCTGTCATGCTGCACTGGAACAACATGGTTAATGTACGTTTAGATGCTCAACTTAAGTGCTTTAACTAAAAACAGCTCATTGTAAATTAGTTTAAAAGTCAATATTGGTGGGGCTCCCAAGTGGCACAACCGTCTAAGCGTTGGCCGCGTCATCAGGAGATCGCGGGTTCGATCCCTGGTGATGCTACAGCCATCCGTAGCCGGGAGTCCAAGAGAGCACAATTGGCCTCGCGCTCTCTGGGTGGGCAGGATGGGCCCCCTTCTCCCCCCCAATCACTCAGCGTGATGCTAGTCACCGCAGGGGTCGGTTAGCGTAACAGAACTGGCTTTCCTCCGAGTGCGTTTGGGTGTCCAGTGACGTTGTGTGACCAACAGTTCAAACAAATGCGGTGGCACTTCATAGGTCTCGGAGGAAGACTGTGTTAGCCTTCGCCCCCTAGTGGGTGGAATTGAGACGACTAAATTGGGGAGAAAACTGGGGGAAAAAAAACAAAAAAAATTCGATATTGGTCTCAGCTGATACAAGGTTTCAGTGTCGGTATTGGCCGATACTCACTGTTTCGAAGTCAGTATCGTCAGAGACTCTAGGTTTCAATGATGTATTTGGGAGATACTGACATTTTCAATGTTGGTAGGTTAGCAGGTATCAAGGTCTGAGTATCGGTATCGGCCGTTACTCAAGGTTTCAATGTTGATAAGTCAATAATCGGCATTTGCTATACTGCCCATCCCTAACTGTGTGATCCATTGATAGCTACATTAGCCTCACGCAAAACTGAGAAACAACAAACTTCAGAAAACAAACATGTCGTGGCCAATTGTCTACATTTCGAGGAAAAAGAGGGGACTTTCAAAGAAAAAAAGTGAAAATCTTTGGGGAACTGTGTGTCCTGCAGCTTCAAGGCATCTGTACTGGATTATGGCAGCGTTTATGAGACAAATATTTTTGAAAGCAAATGATAATTACTGTCAGCAAAAGGATCTGAAGTAATATTCTCTAGATAAACTTAGGATCGTTTTTTGGGGGAAGTCAGTCCAAGTGCGTTTCTGGTATAGTTATATTGGCAAGACCAAGCTTTTCAGTCTGTTTATAAAAGATGGACAGAGTGATAGTGGCAGTTTCGGACCAGTTACAAGGTCAGTCATTAGGCAAGACAGGTGTCAGTTAAAGCTTTTGTGTTAAAGACTTCATATGACAAAGAAAAGCCACCATCTCCCCAAACCCCAAAAAATAACCACACAATATTACACTTCCATTTGGGGAAAAGGACAAATATACAAGACATAAAAACAGGATTACAAAACAAAAAAAAACAAACACATACAAACAAACAGAGTCTGGTACAAGTCCAGAAGATTTAAGGCAGTTGCCAGGAGGATTAAAAGGCAGCTATGAAAAAGAGTTCAAGCGTTTAAAAAAAACAAAAAAAAACGCCTGAACCTTTTATTTCTGAGCACAAAATACGCTCACAAGAAATATACAAAACTATTTGGTAACAAAAGTTTACTATATGTTATAAAACCAAAAAAAAGGTGAAAAATGTACCTTAGCTAAAGCTTATAAAATTATATATCAATAAAAATAATAATAATAATAATAATAATATTCCTTGGTCCTTGAAAACTATATTACTATGATAGCTTCTCTTCCATGCCTGGCGCACCAGAGCATCGAGCCCTTTTAGAAAACGGAGCCGCAGCCGTACTTACAGAGGAAAAAGGCAGCGGGTAATTTTGTATCCGTCAGGTTTTGGCCGCTGCACTGCTGAGGATTCACAGAAGGAGCTCTGCTGGTTTCGAAGACGAAGAAGAGATTTAAGAGCCGATTCTGGTCTTGAGTTTTTTTTTTTCCGTTTCGTTTTTTTCCTCCTCTTTCTCACGGTTGTCCTTTTCCTACAAGTTTTTAATCGGAGAATCCAAAACGTGGCGTTTTTCACTCGCACAGGTTAGGACACGGACATGGCCGAGGAGGAAGAGGACGACGAAGACACGCCCCCGGCCGCCTGGTAACCGGCCGGGCCGTCCACTCTGGACTGTAGGAGGAGGCTGGACGCTGATGAAGATGACGATGAAGATGAGGAGGAGGATGAGGAGGATGATGGAGAGATGGAGGAGGTGCTGCTGCCCCTCAGGATGGCCCCCGCGGCGCTGCAGTGTGGGCGGGGCCCCGGCTCAGGCGTGTAAGTGAAGGTGAGCGCGGTGGAGTAAATAATGCCATCGTTTCGCACCAGAGTGACCGGAACCTGCACCGGCTGCCGGACCCAGCGCCAGCCCTCGCGGAACGCCGAGATATCTGGAACCACGCACAGAACGCTCTCTCCGCACCTACACGGATCACAGAAACATTCATTATTATTCAGGGAGATTCACTTGAAAGAGGCCCTGATTATTCTGTAATGACTCTCACTAGGACGAAGCAATCTGAACAAAAACGTTGCAACGTTTAACCTCTTATTGACCAGGGTACATTTTTGTTTTTTTTCATCTGAATTTACATGCTAAAATCGTAAGGCAAATTATTCAGTAACTGCATGAAATAAATGTAAATTTTTTATTTTTTGTAAAAGTTCCTCTCAAATTAACAGAACATGTGTTTTATGATCACACATACTGCTATATGCTTACAATTTACTGCTGAAAGCCAAAAATCTTAGACGCTCTTTGTATTATTTTATAAAAATAATGTTTACAGAGCAGATCACTGAAGAGACGCCATCTGTTTATAGTTTATAGCCCAGATTTGTGGAAAAATGGGTCGACTTTCAGTAAAACAAAAATTGTGAGTTCAGCTTCTTTTATTATAAGGGTGTAAAATTACATCACCCATCTATTTGACTGGAGAGAAGACAGTTACAGCTCTCATACGACCCCCACCTTTAGAATGTAGCTTATGAAATATGAAAGTTATGAAGAATATGATGAAGTGCGTTTTGGAACCACTGGTGGTCCCAAGGAGTTGAAAAGGTTAACCTCCATTTGCAACTTCCGGGTGCATACCCCCGTACCCCTTCATGTGTCTGGCAGAAAACGGAGATCACTTCCAGCATCACATATAATGCAATCGATTACACATCCGTTAAGTTATGTAGCGGATTTGTTTGGTTCAGATTGCTTCATCCTAAAGGGAATTACAACAGAATATTCGGGGCCTCTTTCGAGTGAATCTCCCTGTATTAAAAAGAGCCCATGTGTGACATTTTATTATATTTTATTTTTGTAAACTAATTTTTTATAATATTTGAGCAAGTATTTAAAAATACCCATAACTTTTTATTTTATGACATCTCTTTATCCCTCAGAATTAAACCGCCTGCTTTGATTTCTGTCCCTTTAAGCTTGGCATCTTCTCATAAGCTCTGTTCTGATGGGCTGGGCCTCTTTCAAAAAGCAGTCCAGGCAGAAACACACCTCATAACTTTAGAATGAGGGGCGGGGCTAAACTGCTGCAGGCCAGGGTGAATTCAAAGCTGTTTCTGAAGCCGAGTTGGCCGTCGTTCAGATACTGCGTAGTTTACACATTTGCATATTACACCACAATAAACCTTTTGTTTCATCAGGCATCAGAACACTATCCAGGACTTACATAGATATACAACAGAATATAAGGTCAACTCAAGAATTACTGGCATCCCATGTTCCTTAAATGTTTGGAGAAATTGCTTCCCATTTAACGGAAATCTACAAGAACGTCATTTTACTTCCAAGTGGACATGAAACACTGTGTAGTTAGTATAATTTACCAGAAAATCCTTACAGGTTTAACACTGTCAGTGAAAGTGGATTGAAAATAAGAAATCTGAACTACATTTTTCAAAGAAGTGTGACGCCATCTTATCCTAACATAGAATATTACGTCATGTTTGAAAAGCATGGAACTGTTGAAAATTTGGCAGGAAGAGGACGCATGAGCACACATGCTGCTAGTGGGCCAAGGGCTCTTGTGAAAAACAATGGCGTAATGAATTCCACTAAATATGAGGACATTGTATCCCCAAATCTGTGGATGGACCTTTCAGCAAGGTAACATACACGTTTTTATCTATCTATCTACCTACCTACCTACCTACCGACCTACCTACCTACCCACACACACACACACACACACATATACACATACATATATACATATATATATTATATATATATATATATATATATATATATATATATATATATATATATATATACACACATACATATATATATATATACACATACACACACACACACACATTCAGTTATATCTCAAATGCACTGCATGTGTGGTTTATTTAGTATACTGATTTTTAGGTCATTTTCATGAGGAATGCCAATAATTGTGGAGTTCACTGACTAACTACCCTACTGGTTCGAGCTGCTGAGAGTGAACCAGTGAACGGCTAGACTTCTTCCCCCTCCTTGTCTAAAGAGTAAATGACCTTACCAGACTGAAATACAGAATCGCACCATCATTTCATCAAAAATTAATAACATTTTATCATAACATTATTAGCACTGCAAAAAATTGTTGTAAAATGTTACGGATACACCGTACAGACCTACACCTGCCCATAACATCAAATATACAGCAGCATCAGGTGACCAGCAGTAAGGAGCCGTGTGATTGGCTCACCTGTACATGGTGTCCGCCTCCACGTCTCCAAACCATACTCTGAGGTTGGGAGTGAAGTTCTGCCCGGTCAGCTCCAGCATGGCCACATCACCCCCTCCGTTCAGCTACGAAACACAAAGAGACCGCCACTGATTTGCCTGATTTAATCAAAGCAGTCAATCGGTTTAGTTACTCAATCAGTGTACAGATCAATCACTGCCTTGTTTAAATATTACATTTTCAAGGTAAAATCTAAACAGACAAAGAAAACATGCTCATCTAACATGTCGCTGTTGTCGGAAGAAAACCTCGTCTCTCCAAAACGGTAGCTTTACAGGAGAAGGAAAAAACCACCTTTACTTTTAATGTAAGTCAATGGAACCAGACTTTTTTCCAAAGTAATTTTGGGTCATTTCTTTTGGTTCATTCATCATGAAATTTACACAAAATATATAGAACCACGGGTTTTTTCAAATTATGTCAAAAACAGAAAAACGTCAAAAAAATGGAGATACGAGATTTGTAGGATGTGTAGAGGTGCAGTGCATATCTGCATGTGTGCATATCACCTGTAGGCTCTCCACAACAGGCACAGGTGTGACAGGTAGTGTGACGGGGCCCATTCCCTCATAGAAAGTATATTCCGCTTTATCTGTGCTGATGATGGTCCACGATGCTCCGTCATTGATCATCTCTTTGTTCGTCTCTTTGGGGCAGGGAGTGGCCTGTGTGCGTTTCAAACACAGAAAACATCTTACTGACAAAATCTTAGACAATTATCAATGTTTTATTGACAGGGTTTCTGCAAAAGCTCATCAGGATGTGGAACTTTAATATCAACCTACCGTACGAAATATCAGTGAGTCTGTAGACTGACCTGAAACTGAATGATGCGCTCCTGAGACAGACACAGGTACATGCGCTCTGTATCCTTCAGATAAAACGCACACTTATGAAGCTGAGATACAGGATCATCTGCGTCCATCAGGGCCGTCTGCTTATCCACCTTACGGATTACCTACAAACCACAGAAAACAGTCATTTACTGTACATGCTCCAATACTGCAGATCTACATTAATCGTGCTTATTACATATAAGATTCCAGGTACTACACAGCAAATACTTCACTTCATATGCAAAAATGTCACAAAATATGCCCTTCAATATACATCAGTGTACAATCTACTACAACAGTACATTCTATGAATTATTCAGTATCTATTGTGAAATATTCAGCATCTGCTATGAATTACTCAGTAACTACTATACATTACCCAACAACTACCACAAGTTACCCAATATATTCTAGTAAATATCCAGTAATTCCTATGTATTATTAGTATACATTATGAAATATAAAGCACAAATACACCGATCAGGCATAACATCATGACCACCGCCTTGTTTCTGCGCTCATTGTCCATTTTATCAGCTCCACTTACTATATAGGTGCACTTTGTAGTTCTACAGTTACAGACTGTAGTCCATCTGTTTCTCTGATACTTTGTTAGCCCCCTTTTACCCTGTTCTTCAGTGGTCAGGACCCCCATGGACCCTCACAGAGCAGGTACTATTTGGGTGGTGGATCATTCTCAGCACTGCAGTAACACTGATGTGGTGGTGGTGTGTTAGTGTGTGTTGTGCTGGTACTGAGTGGATCAGACACAGCAGTGCTGCTGGAGTTTTTAAACACCTCAGTGTCACTGCTGGACTGAGAATAGTCCACCAACCAAAAATATCCAGCCAACAGAGTCCTGTGACCACTGATGAAGGACTAGAGGATGACCAACAACTATAGCAGATGAGCTATCGTCTCTGACTTTACATCTACAAGGTGGACTGACAAGGTAGGAGTGTCCAATAGAGTGGACAGTGAATGGACACAGTGTTTAAAAACTCCAGCAGCACTGCTGCGTCTGATCCACTCAGACCAGCACAACACACACTAACACACCACCACCACGTCAGTGTTACTGCAGTGCTGAGAATGATCCACCACCCAAATAGTACCTGCTCTGTGAGGGTCCATGGGGGTCTTGACCACTGAAGAACAGGGTAAAAGGGGGCTAACAAAGTATGCAGAGAAACAGATGGACTACAGTCTGTAACTGTAGAACTACAAAGTGCACCTATATAGTAAGTGGAGCTGATAAAATGGACAATGAGTGTAGAAACAAGGAGGTGGTCATAGTGTTATGCCTGACCGGTGCATTATTCAGTATCGACAAATGCTTAATTTGAGAACCTGAAAAACGAACAAAGACTCACCAGTCGCGGTAGAGCCATGCCCGTGACTGAACACACCAGCTTGACGGTCTGACCGTAGTGAATGTAGCCGTCTCTCACTGTGAACTCCTCCCCCTCCGATTCATCATCATCCACTAGAGAGAGAACCAAAAAAAAACAACATAACTTTAAAAATCTTCCAAGTTTTTGTTTTAAGTGATGCTACTAAATTAACATTTTTCCAGTTTTCTTAAGACGGCTACACAAAAAGGCTACATATGGTGTGTACACACATCATGAGATCTCTTCATTCATTTAATTTTCAGTTAAAACAGCCATTAAGTACAAGATATTAATTTTCCAGTGTTCGAAGAAAAAAGGAAAAACATTTAAAACAAAATTACACAGAAGCCTCAACAACTAAATCTAAGATTTTTCACAATTTTTCTGTCCACTCTTTTCTGTTATTCCAGCTTCCATTCTGTTCAGGAGACTCACTTTCAGTTCCTCTAAGAATCTGCAGACACGCCTCCAAAGTTCAGTCTTAAAAGCTGGTTGATCATTTTCTGAAGTAATCAAACACATTCAGTGGTGTTGAGGTCTGGACTCTGGGGTGGTCAGTCCATTGTTCAGCTTCTTTGTTTGATGTGTCCGTCTCCTTTTCTCAGTGAGGTTCTTCTTGAACAGCTACACATCCTTTCAGACCCACAGCGCTGAGTCGTCTTCTCACAGTGGAAGGATGGACAGAAACAACTGTGGATGTTTTCAGATCCGGACCAAAAGTGGAGCCTGATTTTCTTCTCTCTCTCTCAGTTTTGGTGTCGACCAGGTCTTCCAGGTGGTTGTTAGGAGTCCCATGTTCTCTGTAGCTTGTAATCATTGAGCTCCAGTTTTGGAAACTCCCGTTTTCCTTCTTTGTGCAAGTTGTATCTGATCTCCTCAGAAATCTTTCCTGAACTAAGAGCCCCATCTGCTCTGTAGCTTTTAAACATTTCTTGAACAGCAGGTTTAGAAACTCCTTTCCTTTGACTTTATTATGGAAGTGGATTATCTTATACCTATATTTTATTACATCCTATCTCCTGAGAAATATTTCCTAAAAAATGAATAACTTTAAAGGCTGTTTTGACTGAAAATCAAATAATTGACTTTCGCACACAGTCCTATACATGTGTTACTCACGCAGGTGTATGTAGAAAGCTCCCCACTGCTGCGAGCTGGCATGGAAGTTTCCTCCCTCCACGTGGAGATACCGTGTACTGACCGTCTGAGAGCGCAACCGATTAAAGAGGGCCACTTTAGTCCCCGACGCTATACACACTGCGAGAGAGAGAGAGAGAGAGAGAGAGAGAGAGAGAGAGAGAGAGAGAGAGAGAGAGAGAGAGAGATATCAGATACTGATGTTGGATAATTAGTTCTGGGTCACAAACTCCAACTCATCCCAAAGAGCGACGAAACTGCCTCAAAACATCCATAAATACAGACCATCATGACGCAGATTAAAAACTACCCATATCAATTATTACGCAACAGTCAGTTCCAGCCACGCGAGCTGATTGGTTGAGAGGTGTTCTAACTGTGCTGTTCTTTCACCATAACATCACGTTTTTTCCACAAACACTGTGTCACTCCGCTGAGATGCAGTTGCTAAGCAACGACTTTGACAGCTGTAGAAGACATTTGGACGTTACTTCTTACTTTGCACAAACAGAAAATGGACACTTTTAAGATCACATTTGACCGACAGCCGATTTGGTCAGACTCTGAAGATGAGACGACACTAAATTCCCAAACTGTCATCACCACTGAGCAGCTTTTCAGTCGGCAGCTGTGACAGAAGAACAGCTAAACAACCTGGAATCAGCCAGAAGTGAACCCAACACCATTCGCCAAACTAAATGGGCTGTAAGATGCTTTACAGACTGGCTGGAACAAAACAACATTTATACTGATCTGGCAAAAACTGACAAAACTGAGCTGAACCTGATACTGCAGCAGTTTTATGGCTCAGTCCGATTTGGTCAGACTCTGAAGATCAGACTGCACGTTTGGCGAATGGTATTGGGTTCATTTCTGGCTGATTCCAGGTTGTTTAGCTGTTCTTCTGTCACAGCTTCCGACTGAAAAGCTGCTCAGTGGTGATGACAGTTTGGGAATTCAGCGTAAGAAGCTGGAGAACGAACTGCCGGCTGTGCAGCGAGTGGGCGGAGCTCTTTACTCTGATGTAGCAACAAGCTGCTTGTTAAGGACCTATAATTTGCTGAAGGAACTGCGAACATTAAAACATATTAAACGACCCAGTTTATTTATCTCTTACTTCATTTATTTAACTGTTGTATTAGAGCAATAGAACACAGAGCGAGTGTGTTATCGCCAATAACATCACAGCTGTGATGATCTACGGCGACCAAATCACAGCCGTGATGTTATTTCGTGATAACACACTCGCTCTGTGTTCTTTTGCTTAAGTATATCAACTGGTGCTCTATATGACAGCAAAAAACTGAGCTCGTTTCCTTATTTTAAAGTTTTTTTTGTTTTTCACTATTTCTTGTAGTTGTCATTACTGCAATGTGTCCTGATCACCGATTTTTTTTTGTACCGATGGAGTTTGCAATACTTTTAAACATCTTATTTCACTGATTTCTTTGTAAACTGTGAGGATGTGAACTAAAACAACATGGCTGTCTATGTGAGGCAGGAGTATTGAACGGAAAATTGAAAAAATAAAAATATTTTGTAAAATTTAAACGTCTTAATAATGAACTTTAAACACTCAGTCTGACAACAGTGTACAGGCTGTGAAAAGAAAAGTTAAATAACATTTACAGATTTGCCTTCAAATCCTACTCAGTGCATTTTAATCAGTGCACACTTAAGAAGCACTTAAAGGTGTAGCTCTTTAACTTGGCATTCAACTAAAATCCCATGTTTGCTCTGTCATTTTTTACATGATTTTAAATACATTCTTTTTTCTACCACTGCTGAGCTTTATCACCTGCCTGTACAGCACTCTGAGCTGCCACCAGCACACAAAGTGCTCTATAAATAAAGATTATTACTGTTATTATTAACGTGTAGCGTCAGTCAGAATTTGGTCACTTAAAATGGGAAACGTTACTAAGAAACAATCTAATACGAATTATATCATTCAGGTTTGTTTTACTTAATCAAGGCAGTATAATGGACGCATCACCGCCTGTCCGTCCAAAAAAAGAACATTTAAGTTTCAGTTATTTAATTTTTTTCTCAGTATTTTTCTTGTTCATCAGAGTTGTTGAACAAAAGGTACTGGATGGAGCTCCATCACTCCAGAGAATGCAGATTCATGGTCGTAGACCTATGCTGGGGGGGCTGTATACCCCTCCAGCCCATGCTAATCACTGGGCAAGGTGAACTGAGGCTCATGTGCGGCTGATCCAGAGCGTCCAGCTCACTGTTATTAAATTTTTACAGTGTCCTCAGACCTTTGTTGCCATGTTCTCTGAAGTAAGTAGCTTTGGGCCAGAGCATTAGCCACACAGCCTGACGTTTAGCAGCTCAGGCACACAGTAAGTGGATTTAGTTCACTCACGGTCGGCATTCTTCAGGGACTGCTTCTTTTTGGAGGGTTTGGAGATGACCTTGATGCGCTTGCTGAGGAAGACTCCGATCTCTGCGCTGTTCCCGTAGAACATCTTCACTGACAGCATGAAGTGCTTCCTCTTATCCGAGTCTGATATGTACAACGTTTTCGCCGTGCAGAAGTTCTACAGGGAGAGGAACAACAACAAAGCGACTTCGAAAAAAAGTGTCAAATTTTAAATTAATTTTTGATGATAATTTGGAGTATTGGGACACTGTCCTCAAAATCTCTTGAGTTGTTAAAAGCAAATTCCATCGATTTCTCAATACTTCTGCACAATTAAATGGTGGAGATGTAAACGAAGTCATTCACGGTGGTTTCGTAAGAAATGCTGCATCAGAACTGTTCACAGTGATGATGATAGGAACCAGACGTCCACCTTAAAGCTCCCTCACAGAAAGTTATTACGTGAAATGGTTATCAATGAAAGTTTTGAGAGGACTAAAGAAATGTATTCTTTCAGATTTATATCTATTTTACCATCATCAACATTCCTTATAAAACTCGTGTAGGTTCACTGGTGGTTTTGGATCGTAAGTAAAGTGGCTATATTAGTGTTGTAGTCATGGTGACCCCTGGTTCCCATCACCACCACTGTAAAGAAATCTGAGTCTCCACAAATCAACCATTTCCCACCAAAACACTCTGAATTAATCTGTTTACAACCACTGAGTTATGCAGAGGTTCGGCAAAATCAGTGGAATCCCTCTTAAGTAATCTCTAACAGATTTGCTTGTGTGGTTTTTGACACTCTGTAACATCCTGTTATCCATAAACATGTAGATCCAGCGCTCCAACTAAACAAGCAACCTTCAGACACCGAGCATGTCTTGGCTGATTAACTACGTTTGGGGTAAAAGGCGCGTTTTCCGATTTACCTTCCCTTCCAGGTTGAGCTGCTGCATCTCTTGTTCGCTGTTTCCGATGCCGATGAAGGCGCAGGGCTGAGCTTCCTGCTCTGAGCAGCCCTCCCGCTCCATCTGCTCCTTCTTCTTCTTCCAGCCACAGCCCATCAGGTACACGCATGGCGGCGGGCAGAAGAACCTGAACGCAAACAAGTCAGCTTGCACCATGTTTACAGGTCCACATTTGTGTGGTTTTATGTACCAAAAGCCTCATAATTCATTTTTGCATGGTCATTTTCCAACCACTCTTTATCCCTTAGAATTAAACAGGCTGGTTTTGTTACTGTACCTTTATGTCAAGTCAAGTCAGTTTATTTATATAGCGCTTTTTACAACAGGTGCTGTCACAAAGCAGCTTTACAGAAAAATCCAGGTCCAAGCCCCTATCAGCGTCGCCAATGGCAACAGTGGCAAGGAAAAACTCCCTAAGAGCAAGAGGTAGAAACCTTGGGAGGAACCAAGACTCAAAAGGGGAACCCATCCTCCTCTGGTCAACACCTGATGTAAATAAGCTCTGTTTTGATTGGCTGGACCTCAAGAATTACTTTCAGGAATAAGGATCAAAACATTTAAAACAGGCTGCTTTGCAGTTTAGTTAGTAACTGATATGATGTGTTTTACACTTGATACTGAGTGACAAAAGTTGTAAAGTCCTTATAAGAAACTTTTTTAGTAATGAGATACATACATACGGTTTATACACCAATCAGGCATAACATCATGACCACCACCTTGTTTCTACGCTCATTGTCCATTTTATCAGCTCCACTTACTATATAGGTGCACTTTGTAGTTCTACAGTTACAGACTGTAGTCCATCTGTTTCTCTGATACTTTGTTAGCCCCCTTTTCACCCTGTTCTTCAGTGGTCAGGACCCCCATGGACCCTCACAGAGCAGGTACTATTTGAGTGGTGGATCATTCTCAGCACTGCAGTAACGCTGATGTGGTGGTGGTGTGTTAGTGTGTGTTGCGCTGGTACGAGTGGATCAGACACAGCAGTCTTCTGGACGAATGCTGGGAAATATCTGTCTGACCGCCCTCAAAAATCGCTGATGGTGCTCCGGTAATACAAGAAGGTGACCAAAAGCACATTCTACATGAAATACCCACGTTGCCATTTTTCCCTGCGTTAGTCTGTACAGTCAGTGATGCTACAGGAATATATATAACAATATAACACAGACCTGAAAGACAGAGCGCCCCAAGTTACAGACTTACTCAGTTAATTCTCACCTCTTTTCATTGCCGTATGACTTCTGTGCGACTTTTGCATGCAGTATGAGCACCGTCTGATCTCCTCTCTCTTTCAAGTAGTTACGCATTGCCTCTCTAAAGAGAACAGAAGGACGAATATCATACAAAACAAAGTGAACAGGATCAAGCGCATCACAAATATATTACTGTGGAGGAAAAAAAAAAAGCCCAGCATAGTTACCTGGTGAGACGCTTTGGCTGAGGAAGCTCCCCAAATTTCCTGCAAAACGCACACACACAATGTAAAGGGGAATACCACCGATTTTCAAAATTTCGACATAAAGATGCAAATCATTCAGAGCGGTATGGTGTAAAATGCACCGTTCTAGTCAGACTGTTCTCAGTGGTGGTGATAGGAACCAGAAGTCCACCTCTAAAAGCCCCCTCACAAAAAAAGTTATTACATTAAAGGGTCACTGCCTGATGTCTGATACAGTTTTATGATAGTTTTGAGAAGATTCTGGCCTCAAACTCCATTCATGATTCATACATAATATGCAGGGTGTTGTGAGTCAAAATAGTCTCTCAAAAATATATATTTTATCAGATTTTCCACTATTCTACCATCATCAACTTTCCATATAAAAACTCAGACACGTGTAGGTTCACTGGTGGTTCTGGATAGCAAATACAACGGCTGTATTTGTGTTGTAGTCATGGCGACCCCTGGTTTCTATCACCCCCACTGTACAGACATCTGAGTCTCTACAATCAACCACTTAACCCCAAACCACTTTAAGTGACTTTGTTCACACCCCCGTGATTAATTTATCAGGGAATTCTGAAAAGTCTGTGGAGTTCCCCTTTGAGTCTGAAACTTTTAGTCAACACAGAAAACGGTAACTAAACAAAGCGAAGTTTTTTGTTTGTTTGTTTTTTTAATATTTCATAGTAAACAAAAGCTCCAGCAGCTACACCACGTTTTAAAGAGCTCCTGAGGGGTTTCACGAGCTGTAAACAAGGCTGAACTCGAGTTTATACCTGCTGAAAACAAACGAGGCTGAAGTTGGCTTCCCTCTCGCCGGCTTTTTCTCCGAATTCTCCGTTCCACCTTAAACGGGGCATCGGTTACATTCTGGAGCCCCGAGCGCCACAACGTAACTGCTGCACCATTTAAGGTGGAACGGGAAAATTCGAACAACACACTGGCGAATCAGAAGCTGACGCTATTGACACCGAGCAGCGTGTAAAAAAATACCCACGGCAAACTTTAACTCTCATTTCAGACGCGTATAAAACATTTACGAGGCTCACGGACACGAAAAACGACCTTTATGTTCACCGCAAAGCGCCCGTTTTAACCAAAGTTCGCGGTTTTAGTGCAAATGTGTGCTAAAAGTTGGCTAACGCTGGCTAACTGGATAAAAGAGCGGGGCTAAACCGCTCAAAAAGCGCAAATATCTCCGGCTCGGGGGGAGATTCAACGCTTTAGGCGAAAGGGAAGGACATGAATAAGCCCTCTCATCAAAACCAGAGCGCGGAAAGCCAAACTTTCGAGCTATTTTTCCTTCCATCGTTGTTAATTTCATCGCTTACCCTGTCACAACAGGCGCCATCTTCCACAAACTCTCTCATAAAGTCCAAGTATCGCGAGACTTCCCCCTTCCCATTTACAGACCACAGAACAACAAAAGTGGGAACGGAAGAAAAGATGGGGAGGGTGAAGGGAAGAGGAGTGTGAGACGAGCCGGTTTATGAGGTGTGAGGAGGAGGAGTAAGAAGGAGGGAAAAAAGGGGGAGGGAGGGCAGCGGCAGGCGTGGGAAAGTTCTCAAAACACGCGAGAAGTGGCGAAGGCAAAGAGCCGAGTCTGGTCTTATCGCGAGATTTGGTGAAGCTTGGCGTGAGAAAACGCCACAGGCGGGTCGCACGAAAAACGAGAAAAATGACTCACATTGAAGAGAAAAACTCAGAGAGAGTGCATGCGTTTTGTACGGAGCCCCGAAGGTAACATAGTCAACTAAAGCGTGCCCACGAATTAGTAACCTGAGGCCTCAAATATTGAAGCCACGAGTTTAAGTTGTGGCCTCAGTATAGTTGTTTGTAGTATACTGTACTGGCTCCTCCACAGCCAGTAGTGGGTTGCAGCTATATTAATTCGTGGCCTCAATATGGTAAATTGTGCTTCAATATAATACAGTAATGGCCCCAGTATAGTAACTTGCATTTGTTATTTAGTAATTAGTAATTTGTGGCCTTCATATATTAATTCGTGACCATGCCTAAAATAATCATCATATCACCTCAGGGCTTCATACGTTTACCTAGTTTCAACAATTTAACAAAGTCACCGTTTTTCTAGCTCGTCACGTTTTTCCCTCTGTGTAGATTGAATGCTGCACTAAAAGTATCCAGACTGTAAACCTTTCTGGCGCCACCAGATGGTGCTGTTGCTTAATAATACGCTCCTATAGAACAAGCATTGGCCACTACTGCAGTAATATTCTTGTCATTCAGAGTGGTTTGGTGTTAAATGGTTGGTTGTAGAGACTCAGATTTCTTTACTGGTGCTGACTACTATATTTTGTAGACTGTAGTCCATCTGTTTCTCTGCATACTTTGTTAGCCCCCTTTCACCCTGTTCTTCAGTGGTCAGGACCCCCATGGACCCTCACAGAGCAGGTACTATTTGGGTGGTGGATCATTCTCAGCACTGCAGTAACTCTGACGTGGTGGTGGTGTGTAAGTGTGTTTTGTGCTGGTACGAGTGGATCAGACACAGCAGTGCTGCTGGAGTTTTTAAACACCTCAGTGTCACTGCTGGACTGAGAATAGTCCACCAACCAAAAATATCCAGCCAACAGCGTCCTGTGGGCAGCGTCCTGTGACCACTGATGAAGGACTAGAGGATGACCGACACAAACTGTGCAGCAGCAGATGAGCTATCGTCTCTGACTTTACATCTACAAGGTGGACTGACAAGGTAGGAGTGTCTAATAGAGTGGACAGTGAGTGGACACAGTGTTTAAACACTCCAGCAGCACTGCTGTGTCTGATCCACTCAGACCAGCACAACACACACTAACACACCACCACCACATCAGTGTTACTGCAGTGCTGAGAATGATCCACCACCCAAGTAGTACCTGCTCTGTGAGGGTCCATGGGGGTCCTGACCACTGAAGAACAGGGTAAAAGGGGGCTAACAAAGTATGCAGAGAAACAGATGGACTACAGTCTGTAACTGTAGAACTACAAAGTGCACCTATATAGTAAGTGGAGCTGATAAAATGGATAATGAGCGTAGAAACGAGGAGGTGGTCATAATGTTATGCCAAACAAGGGTCATCTGCTCTAATATACAAGGAATTCTGAACTGAGTCCAGTCGCTCATTGAAAATGGACATACTAATCAGTATAATAAAGTCAGATATGCTGTGTTGTGGATGCCGGTATGATGGTCAATCAGTACCACCACGCTGGTTACGCAGCTGAACCAGAACCAGAACAGCATAAACCGGCTTAGACCAGCTTAGACCAGCATGGAGTTCATGGTGGTCTTTTTATTCAGCAGGGAAATCTAAAAAAACCGACATATGAAAAACTCAATACCCTAAAATGAGCCCAATAAAGTACATTTGAAGTAGTGTTTTTCCTGCATTAATACACCTGATTCAGCTTGTTATCAAGCCCATAAGACAATTTAAATACAATAATCTGAATAATCTTTGGCGTAAAAGGCTACAGTCCAACTTCAGACTCCAAAGTTTAGCACAGTCAGGCCATTGTACTGTAAGAGGTCATTACTCTGATTGCCTAGGAAAAATAAAGTAGTTGTTGTTGTTGTCATTCACTTTAGCAGCTCTTTAGCTGCTTTTTAAAGCTAGCTTTAGCATAGCTAATTATTTTTACCTAGATAGTATCTTTGCTGTAGATGATAGTTTAAAGTTTGATATACATATTTTTTGTTTATCCAAAGCCAATAATGGCTTTATCTCTCTGATGGAACTGATAAACAGCCCAATCATTTAATTCATGTTGAGATATCAAATGAAAGTAGGCAGGCGTATGATAGGCCACGTATTTATTAGCAGTTATTAGTATTAATTTCGGTATGCTAACCTTTTTTTACAATGGACTGTGCTCCAGCTTTTTCATACAGTCAAACTGTACATTACACCAAAAGATCAAAGGTTTGTGGAAACATACTGAGAACAAGAATCAGCCGTTCAAAAAGACTAGACAGTGATTAGCTTGGTGCTACTATTATTAAATAAATCCATTACAATTACATTATTATTAACCATAAATCTGTGCAGAATACTTTTTTACAGACTTGACTATTTTTAGTTTATTTTGTGTGATTTTATTAAATATTAAAAAATGATAAAATATTCAACATCACCAACATCAAGAACCATTTATTTAGCTGTTTTTCTAAAAATTAGCACGTTAGCACGTTTCCACACGGTTTTTGTCGATCTCTGAGTTTTACAAAAGGTTTTCAGTCACTTTTTTACGAAGTTAACCCCTCAAACTCTGAGAATGCCTGCTAGATGGGTTTGCATCTAGTGCTAACTCAGATAGAAGAGAGCTAGCTTAGCCAGCGGGCCAACAGCTCCACACACCATACTTGGCAATTCATTAGATCTGGGGTTCTGAACCTTTTGCAACTCATGGACCACACACTGTTAGTAATAAAGGTTCTGTTCAGGTACATTTTTCATTCATCAAGGTACAAACAGTGTAAATGTTCCCTCAAAGGTACAACAGTGAATTTAAGGTCTGATTGTGAACCTTAAATAAGTTTTTCCAGGTGAAAAGTTCGTATTTGTACCTTTTCATAACCGAATGTTTTAAAACAGAACAGTAAAATAAAAGCCTGGAGGCGAGACGGGGTGTGTGGAGTCAGTACAGCTTAGAAACATATCATTCAGTGGATTATGGTTCAGTTATGTTCCCTGACTAAAGGTACTGAGGTGGACCCTTGAGGGTTCCACCCCAGTGACAGTTTAGTACCTTTATTTCTGAGAGTGTACAACTGACCACAAAAGCTTTAAATTATTTTTAAATGCAAGACAATTTAGCACAAGAATTAAGGGACCCTATCGAAATTCACTCCACTGTGTAATCACACAACACAATAAACACCAAAAGGTCCAGGATTTCTCTGTTTGTAGCCAGATATCCATGATGGATGAATTCCAAACAATCAAAAAGAGAAATATAAACATATCTAGCTCTCTGTGTTAGTGATGCGTTTTGCAAAGAGACAGATCTCGGGACTCACACGCCACAACCCCCCCCCACTCACTCATGGTGTTCCTCGCCGGACCTTGTCCTTGCTCGAAACTCAGGCCCCACCTTCCTGCCGGCTCTCGCGGCCGCCATCGGGGCCCGGTGGCCACAACACTTATGAAACATGAAATGAAACATGAAATTTTGTTTTAAAAAACAAAAATGAAATAAAAAGTGAGCGCCAGAGCCCCCCTAGCAGTATTACCTGGCTCACCGGGGGCCACGGCCCATAGGTTGAGATACATGTTGAACAGAAATTTGACACCTATTTCAACTGTTCTTGCCAGCTGCTAACTGCACTGTCCAACCATCACCATCATTAGCTAGGCATGCTGCTGTTTAGCTGCTGAGGCTTCAGTGTAATTAATGTAGCCTCAATGTAAGACTATAAGTGATTTCAGGACCGTTTCCACTGATCCATTCATCAGGAAATGTGCACACAATGGAAAGGGCAGTTAGCATTTTCAAAACAAAATCGTGGAAAAACACAAAAGAAGCTAAGAAATATTTGTTACCAGCGAATATTAAAAGTAATGTGAGGTAATTAAGGCAGGGATCAAAGGATTAGCTTCCTCCCTTGTTTTAAAACATCTGCCCCTCAGGCTGGAACGGATATCAGGTGAACAAAGTGTCATCAGTGACTAAGACTGCGGATGTGAGATGAAAGAAGAGAGGCAGATAAGAGTAGATAAAACGACAGCAGCTTTGGTCTTTCCCCACTTTACACAACACACCGAAAGACGCTGTTAAACAGTGATGCTTGTGCTATAATACACTGCAAACCACTTCGTGTAGGCGAGTCATATTTACACATTCAATACTGTGCAAAAGTCAAGGATTTATTGAAGTTCATTTATTTGATTTCCTGCCAAAACAGCCATTAAGTACAAGTTATTCATTTTTCAGGAGATCAGGCCTAACATTATGACCACCTCCTTGTTTCTAGACTCATTGTCCATTTTATCAGCTCCACTTACTATATAGGTGCACTTTGTAGTTCTACAGTTACAGACTGTAGTCCATCTGTTTCTCTGATACTTTGTTAGCCCCCTTTTACCCTGTTCTTCAGTGGTCAGGACCCCCATGGACCCTCACAGAGCAGGTACTATTTGGGTGGTGGATCATTCTCAGCACTGCAGTAACACTGACGTGGTGGTGGTGCGTTAGTGTGTGTTGTGCTGGTATGAGTGGATCAGACACAGCAGTGCTGCTGGAGTTTTTAAACACTGTGTCCACTCACTGTCCACTCTATTAGACACTCCTACCTTGTCAGTCCACCTTGTAGATGTAAAGTCAGAGACGATAGCTCATCTGCTGCTGCACAGTTTGTGTCGGTCATCCTCTAGTCCTTCATCAGTGGTCACAGGACGCTGCCCACAGGACGCTGTTGGCTGGATGTTTTTGGTTGGTGGACTATTCTCAGTCCAGCAGTGACACTGAGGTGTTTAAAAACTGCAGTGCTGAGAATGATCACCCACCCAAATAGT